TTAGTGGTCAAACCGCTTTGAACAAGAGTCTAAAGGAAAGTCGCATTGATTTCCTTTTTTTAAACATTAAATCTCTTTAAAAAGAGCTGCAGAGATAACTTGTTTACTGAAGCGCTCGCTCCTTCAACACATCACAGATAACCTGCAGCTGAGAAACCTAACCCCGGTGTAAGCTTATCTGTGAGCCGTGTTATCAAGGACTGATTGCAAACTCGAGCTCTGCCCTTTGGACAAATGCCTCAGAGTTAGTTAGGTCTTTTCCAAAGGGAAATAAGCGTAACCATGTCCCCTTCTCCATGATGTTCACTAAGATTTCATTTGACCAGACCTAATTTAGTCCATTGATGTTCCTGGACAGTTCTTTTGGACAGAGATCTCATGGGTCTCTGCCTGATTTCCAGTTTGAGGTCAAGTCCCAGGTTCTCAAGTCACCAGTGAGGCCTTTACTTGAATTTTGATGCATACAATTATTCAAGCTGCTTTAAATTTGTTCGTGTTGATGGTTTGAAAGCTACACTTCCTACCAGCAACAACAAACGTTAAGGACCCAGAGAGTGGTGGACAGGAAGTGTTGGAAGGACTGGACTGCAATTATTAATATCCAGTCAGACTGATAAGACAGTAATACGTGTTGCTTCCATGTCAGCAGGGTGGTGCGGATTCACGGTACAGCTGTTGTATCCTCTCCTGCAGAAAGTCGGCCCACATGTTGTAACTGGTCCTTAAGACCCGCAGATTGGTACTGGGTCAAAGCAGAAGTCCAAGTGGGTCACACCTGTTCAGTTAGGGGAACATCATGGGATCTGGCTGACTGGAAGGACCTGAACAACGATGCAGGCAACTCAAATGCACATGTGCTGTGTGGACGGGTGATGTCCTGTTAAAACATGGTACAAAGGGACTATCTAGGAGGGTAAGACACAATGCTGTGCTGTCAGGGCCTCAAAACCCTAGCAGAAGTGACCTGATGATCTCCATCTTCTTCCACTTATCTGTAGTCATGATGTAGGGGCAACAGGTCCAGGAAACACTCCAGTGACACTCTCCAGCCCCCTGAGTTGTTCCCAGGCCAGAGAGGATATATAATACCTCCAGTGAGTTTTGAGTCTTCCCCAGGGTCTCTTATCAGTGGGACGTCCCCAAAAAACCTTCAAAAGGAGGCATCCCGGAGGTATCTGGATCAGATGAAGCACTTCAGCTCACTAAAGGATCAGTGTCTCTGTATGAAGGAGCTCCTCACCATATCTCTAAGGTTGAGCTGGATCCTCCAAAAAAAGCTAATTTCAGCAGTTTGTATCCAGAAACTGGTTCTTTCTGACCTGATCCAAACCTCATGACCTCAGGTGAGAGTTGGAATATAGACAGACCAGTACATCCCAAGCTTTGCCTTTTGACTCGGGTATTTTTTCACCATTAATGACTGAAGCAACGCTCTCATTACTGAGGATGAGGCCCCGATCCGTTTTCCGTCTCCCGCTCCATCGTCCCATCACTTAGGATATTTAAAATAAACTCGTTCACTTGAGGCAAAGACCCCCAACATTAGTAGGACAGGTGCCCTCAGTGTCACCATGAAGGTGTTTGATGGTCGTGAGAACTGAGCTTCATCGATGAACTTGTCTTTGAGTGGTTGCGTTTGATGACTTGGGGTGGTGTAAAAGGTTCAATACCTGTGTTCAGACGGCAGGCCATGCCACGAGGTTCTGAAATGCACAATACAGTAGTGATCCTCCAGGGTGTGGTGTGTGTTGGGCAACAATATGGCAGAGGTGCCCATTGGCTCCAACATGGAGTCACTGTGACATCTTTACACGCTACACGTTGGGCAGCTGCAGGTGCAACCATCCAGACTCAAACTAATTCCCAGACAGACCCTTATAAAACTGATAGTTGTTAGTAATGCTGTTTATGAAGCATCCACTTCATTTGTTGACCTTCGCTCACTATTTTCACTGACTGTAAGATGTCCAGGCAACTGCCTGATAACACAGTTTCTCCATTAGTGTCTTCTAGATAAGTCGCCTCCTTGAAAATCAAATCATTCACACTGAACACATTATACCAAGCTATGTCCAAACCAGACCGTTAGCTTGTAACAATCTACGAACCCCTTTGATTAAAGCCTGCAACTGTGTCGAATCAGGTGGTCCATGGCAGCTTTTAAGAACCACGGCAGTAGTTTCATGACAGATGGACATTTTGTGCTCTCCTTGTCTAAACCTGCTGTCGAGTGTAAGTTAGTAAAAGTTGACAATATTACAAAAAGAAAAACCAAGCAGATACATTAAATCTTGTTTTTAAATGGCTGTTTGTTCAGTATCTGTGACTGCAGCATCACAAATAAACTTCTCAAGTCAACACAGTTTTTGTTCTTGTCTGAGTAACCTCTGCTGGTAGTTTTGTGACGGTCTTGGGTTTTTCTGTGCTTTTAAAAGCTCGTCACATATTTTATTAATAATAATAATAATAATAATAATAATAATAATGTGTTATGTTTTGAGGAAACGTCTTGTAACTGCGACTTTCCTTTCCTCCGTTGACTACAGTGACATTATCTATATAAACGCTCCTACAAGCACCCCGCAGATGCTGCATGCATGCTGTCCATCACGGTGCATTAAGATTTGTAACTGGCTGTAACTATCGTACCCATCATTGCACCCAGTATTCACTGGTTAACTGGTCATCATTAACTTCACGCAGACTCTCTCACTGGTACATTTTCATCTTTAAATCACTTCTTGGTCTGCTGCCTTCATACATCTCCTCCTACATGTCTCTGCGTGAGTGCAGCTACAGCGTGCGCTCTCAAGACATTATTACCTGCAGTGTTCCCTCAGTGAGGACTAAACTTGGCAAAAGGTTCTTCTCCTACTCTGCTCCTGCTTTCTGGAATATCTTGTAAAAAGATCTGAAGCTCTCGACCTTGACCTCTAAGTGGTTTCAAACATCTGCTAAGTTCCTGGTAAAAACCAACACAGACATGTTCCTGTTTTTAGTTTTCTACACCGCCTTATAATCTAGCTGTTTTTATTTCTTTTTCGCTACTTTTCCTTTTGACAGTCCTTTTGGTTGCTATTTTGTTTTGATTTGTTAATAAAAAAATTAATATAAATTTTGTATGCCTCTTTTGTGACTGTCTGTTGTTGTCGTTGTTACTCGCTGTTGTCATCATTCTTTGTTGAAATCAGGTCTCTCTTGTAAATGAGTCTCCGAGGCTCAATGACATTAACCTGTATAAATACTTGTTGAATGAATGAAAAAGGGTTGTCATCACTGTATGTTTCCATACAATGTCGGAATTAGCTTTCTGGATTTAACGCATCCACCCCCAGGTAGAGCAGTGGGCAGCTACTGAAAGCACCTGGGGAGCAACTGGAGATAGGATGTGCTGCTCAGAGACGCCATGAGATGAGCAATGACTGGGGTTCGACCCTGGGACTTTGGATGAATTCAGAGGATTGTTGGGATGAAAGCAGAAACTTTAATCCTGAACCTTTTATTTTTTTTTAATGATTCGGTCGTGGGTTTTCATTTGACTTTAGACTAACTGCCCTGTAATTTTTATTTGACTTCACGTGTTTGATTTATTCTGTTTGTTTTCTCGACATGAAATCTTTTTCACGTGTCAGCAGCAAACACTGACACCTTCTGGCTGCTTGGTGGAACTACAGCTTCAGGTATAAATCATGTGCTTCTTTACAGAAACACAACAGCTGTAAACAAAAACAACATGAAAGCTTGTCTGATGACTGTATGGAGATGAACAATGTTCTCACATAACACAAGACTACATGTATGACGTAATAATGGTTTAGAAGAAGACAGGAAATACTTCTGGATATGATGGTAAAGCCAGAGGAGAACATGTGAAGAAATCTTCATAAAAATGATGAAGAAGAGACGGAACAATCTCCACTAACACAAAAGTTTAATTAAAAAATAAAAATTAAAGAGAAAATATGCTATCATTTGCTTGAATTCAACCCTGTCTTTTAGCAAAATATCTTGTGAAATACAGCATGGATTTTTGTGAAACCTTCAGGAAATAATCACTGGATGTACATCTACAACTCGTTATCTTTTGGAGCAAAACCTATTCAAGATGGCCGCCACAGCTAACTGGTTTTAGAAGCTCCCCAAATGGTTATAATTGAGTCCGTTTGTCAGATAATGTGATAATACTCCGTTTGATTGCAGTTGAGAGTCTTTCAAAACTTCAAGTGCTTAAAATGTCAGCATTTGCTGTTAGAGTCAATCCTGTTTGTCTGTTAGCAAAATATCTCGTGAACCACCCGGTCTTACTGAAACTCTTACAACATAATCTTTGGGTTTACATCTACAGCTCATTCACTTTTAGAGTCAACCCAGTTCAAGATGGCTGCCACATCAGCCAACATGTGTCAGTTTTACAGATGTGTTGATTTTAATCTGAAGTTCTAACATGAAATGTGACGTTTCCTCCTGAACTGATTTGATTTAAATTAAAAGAAGACTCAACAGTTTAAAAGAAGCTACACGTTGTGAAAATAAAGCCATTAAGGTTCTGAAACTGAAGAGATGGAGCCTGGAGGAGGCTGTAATCTGAGCTGCGGGGCTGGTTTCTCCAACAGGACGGCCCATTTCCTCCAACCAGCACACGACGACAAAGTGCCGACTGTCCAAGTCCAGAAGGATCGAGGTGAAAGGTGTCTGCCATGAAGCTCTCTGCTGACCAGCTCCGGGTAACTCTTATTTTATTATCTCCTCATGGTTTTATCACCAGGGGCCAACAGCTGCTGTCCTCTGAGGGTTTGATAAATCCATAAGTTCATGCTGATGATGATGAGGAGCTGAATCAATCAGATAACCCCACTGATTGATCAATCACACGTCCGTGCGCAGACGCAGAGCCTCGCAGAACTTCCTGTCAGATCTGCTCAGGTTAATGATTGGCCCGTTATCTCGTACTTAGTACTTGAGCGTGGAGTTTGGAGTCTGCCCTCCCCTGAGACAGATCCTGACGGGTCTGGACCTGCTTTGCCTTTCTGTTTTGGTCCTTCGGTGCCACTTCAGCCCCTGACTCTGCTGTGCGGCTTTCTGCAGGGAGAGGAACCACCATGTTGGCTCTGGTGCTCTTCTTGCTTTGTGCGGCCTCCGCCGTGACCTCCTCCACCAAAGGTGAGTGGACGCTCGCGACCTGCTGGCTGTTAATGAATGAGATGAAGGCCTGAAGGAGGAGGGGAGCTCTTCTTCCTCTGTCAGTAAAATATTACGTGTTCCCTACGGCTTCTCCTTCAAGGACACGCTGGAGGACTCACAATGATGTTTCTGCGTGGTTTAGACTTTTGAGCTTTTGTAGCTTTTTAATTCCAGTAAAACAGAATGAATGAATGAATGAATCTCAGGTGGAGCTACTGAAGTGCAGCTCGATGACATCACCCAGTGATAAGAACTATTGGAGCTCGAGCCATAAAACACCTCTTCTTAACTTATTTCCCTCGTGATGAACCTAAAATGTTTAATTGTTTGAAGAGCGGGACCGACTCGGAGTGTTTTATTTGATCAGGACGAGCTCAGGAGACTCGCTGATGAAATCAAAAAGTGACACGTCAGTGTCTTCCCTCCCGTCTATCAGGACGACTGTCATTAATGGAGCAGAGAGATCACAATCTGCTCCGACCTGGAGCACACCCAGTTCAACTGCAGATGATTCAATCAGCTCACCGTCCACCGTCCATCGTCCACCGTCCACTGTCCACCTCTGCAGATAATAAGATGAAGACACAGAAAGAACAAGGAAGATTTAAAAAATATATATAATTGTTTTTGTTTTTAAAGACCTGGAACTCGGTTTGAAAGCCACAGAGGTGATGAGGCCTAGAGTTCACACAGAAGGTTCAAAATTCATGTTTTTTTATTTATTTATTTATTTTTGTAAAGAATAAAAAGGCAGTGCATCATGGGAGATATGTCGACTCAATCTGACACGCAGTTCATTTCCTCAGTCTTCAGTTCAGACGCTGTCCCCCTTTAAATTTACCATCCATCCATCCATCCATCCATCCATCCATCCATCCATCCATCCATCCATCCATCCATCCATCCATCCATCCATCCATCCATCCATCCATCCCTCCATCCATCCATCCAT